AAGAAGGTTCTGGGTTGAGATCGACTTTTCCTGGCAAACATGGTCTCCCAAATCCACCTTTGCTAAGAATTGGAATGCAGGGGAACTTATAAAGAGAGATGCGGGAAAAGAGAACCCCTCCTCTACCCGCCAATTCAGCCCTTCAGTGCCCCCCCCAACACCCATATTTCTCTACAGCTTCCAATCCCCCCCCCCGGGTGGGGGGGGGGGGAAGCACAGTACACACCATTGCCGGAAGGGCATTTGCAGGGAAGAACTACAAAGCAAGGGAAAAGTTTAGCCCCACGCTTCCACATAATTGTTCTCCATCAAGTGTTGCATACAAACACATCTCTAAATGATCCGGGGCCAGGAAATCTTAAAGGCCCATCCTCCCAGATGAAGCGACTTGCTCAGTTTGGCTATCTTTGGCATCCCTGCTCTGTGTTTTCCCGTTGCCTTCCGTCTGGTAGATAGCAAGGAGCAATAGAAAGAACCCCGTGACTCATGCTAATGGCAAGTCAAGACCTTGCCTTCTGGGGGATAATCTGAGAAGAACATCCTTGTCTCTGTTCAGCTCTGTTGTTCTTTTCCTTTGGAGCAAGGAAAGGTGAGAGTCTTCCTACATGAGGCATGTATTCTACACTCATCATTCCCTACCAATGGTTGCTTACCCATCCTTTAGACATACATCGTGACCCTCCAGGTTTGGTCCTGTTTTTAAAAGGTTTTTTAGAGTAGGGGAAATGCTGTATTCTTTGTAAAGCAAAATAAAATCTTTTCCCCACTTCCCTAATTGCATTATTCCACTACACCACAGTGAGGCCTAGAGGTTATGTAGCAGAAAATCTTCTCATATAACACTCAGATTTTCTGTGATGAAACCAAGGACAGATAAAGCAGGTGAACGGCCTCGTGCAGAAAAGCTGGTGCTCCATTTCTCTCTTTGTGCTTCAAATCACCCACTCCCAAAGCTGCTCGTTCTCTTTAAGAAAAGCCGCCAATGCATTTTCCTTGACTGTGTTTGTATGTACCGTATTCTCCCTAAAATGAGACCAGGTCTTATACTAATTTTCTCCAAAAGACGCACTACAGTTTATTTTCAGATGATGTCTTATTTTTTCATGTACATTAATCTACATTTATTCATGTACAAAATCTACTTTTCTTCAAATACAGTCATATCATCTTCTTCTGGAACATCGTCATAACTCTCCAAACCCAAATTGTGTTTCAACAGATGTACTAAGTGCATCCGTCTGGCTGACGATCTTAACTGGGGCTTATTTGGGGGTAGGGCTTATATTGTGAGCAACCTGAAAAATCATGCTAGGGCTTATTTTTCGGTTAGGTCTTATTTTCAGGGAAACAGGGTAACATGTAGTTAGGCTTGAAAAGCTGATCCAGACAGAGTCAGGAAATGCTGAAATCTGCAGAGCGTTGCGCGTGGAGAGAGCCACTGAAATGTAGGTGGCAGTTTCTCCATTCAGGCCCTTCAGGCCCTGAACTTTCAGCCACCCGAGCTGCCCGCTGGATCCACATGAAGTAAGGTTTGCGAAGCGCTGCCTCTTCCAACGGGGACTTGCTTGTGCAAGACGGTTTTCCTGAGCATTTCCACAAACCGGTGTGCTTGGCTGCTCCTTGCTTCTGATTTCAGGCTGGCATCTCAACTCTGCCTCTTTGTCTGTTCCTGGCTCAGACTTGCTCATGGCTCCTGACTCTTGCCTTGTCTCAGGTCCGAGCCAATGCCCTCCACCCTCAAACTAAGGCTGTTTCATATCTGAATAGATGTCCAGCGTGCAAAGCCCCTGCGCTCCAAACAAGCCCGTTGAGGAGACCATTCACCTTCCACATCCTTTCTCCTTGCTATGCTAGCTTTCTGTGAGCAGGGAGTTTTTGACAAGGTGCCATTCAGCTGTACACTTTTCCTTCTGCATTCTGCAACTGTTATAAATGGCATGCCTTTTCTGGACATATGTATTTGCTCCTAGGCAAGGAATGGTAATTCACATTTTCCGTATTATCATCATCATTTTTTAAAAGGAAGTACTGTGTGACATTTATTTATTTTATTTATTTTTTATTTTCCGATTTATATCCTGCCTTTTTCCTGCAAAGGGCTCAAGGCAGCTTACATCTCCTCCTCCATCTTATCCCCACAACAACAGATCACATAAGCATTCCATTCCATCAACATCTACTTTCTTCTCCTTTTATTTCCAAGAGGAGGATATGAAATGGGAAAACCCACATCATTTTCTTTTATTTTGAGGGAAGCCAAGGAGGAGAATAAAATGACTGGAGAGCCGAAAGCCCACACCAAGAATTGAAAAACCACACACTGCTGAGAGAATTGTCACAGCCAACTTGTAAACCTGTGAAAATACTGCATGCGTGATCATAATGGAAAGCTTGACACTCGTAACTTTGTCCTGGCAAGCTGATGGGGCTATTATTCATTACAAAGAAAACTATAACAAAGAAAATTAATGATGTTAGCTCATTTCTCAATTCAGCTTTACTGCAGAACCAGACATAATTATAACAGCCCTTACTTTGTCAACACAAAACTGATATAGCCTCCCAAAGCAATAGTTACCTGGAAACAAAGTCATAATTTACTGGGGAAAACAAACGGCCCAAAACTAAAAAAGCAGCTGCAAAATGAGACTGCTGCATTAGTTCATTTCCGCTGAGGAGTGCCAGCACTGAGAGAGTAATTCTGAAGTGACTCCGTCTTCGGGGAAGGGGGCTTGGTGTCCTCACCCCAACAGTAGCAATGGGTGTGTTGTTTTGCAGCCTGCAACGGCTGCAGACACCATCACACTTGACTGCTGGTTGCTGCCATTCTTCCATTTTGGGGTTATTTAAATAGCCTGCCAGTTCTAGCAGTCAGTCTGTCTAAATTAATAATAATAATAATAATAATAATAATAATAATAATAATAGCTTTCCCACCTTTTCCAGAGATTGGAAGTTAAGGCGACTCACATTCCAATTCATTCAATTTAAACATTCAAAAGCTTATAAAAGTTAGGAATATAATTACATCAATTAAATACTAAAATTAAATCACTACCTAGATTTAAAAGAGTGCCAAAATATAAGCAGTAAAAGCAACTCATTGCCATGCCAAATGCCTGCTGAAACAGAAAGGTTTTTGCCTGCTCGTGGAAATGTAACAGGAAGGACCAACTTAGTCTCCCTAGCAAGGCCATCACCCACGTGCAGCCGCCTCTCTGGGCCAATGCAATTCAGAAAGCCTTTCTGGGAGGGCTGGAGTGGAAAGCAATCCTCAAAAAGTGGTTGCTTTGCTGGGATTTTCCTGAAGCTTTCCTGGCTCCTGGAAGTGAAGCCAATAAGAAACCTGGACCATCTCCACCCGGCGCAATGGGGGGGGGGGGGGGGGGGGCTTTGAAGGAGCACAACCATGTGGAATGTTGCCAACTGCGGCCAGAGGAGGAGGACATTCAAATCCAGCCAGACTGAATCTGTTTCGCACAACCATGTCCATGTGCCACAGCCACGGACAGAGCAACCTCTGTTTTGTCCATCATTATCTTCATCACAACACACTTATATCCTGCCTTTTTTCCTCTTTTCCTCCATCCAGTCAAAGAAACCTCCCACCAACAGTGGCCCAACCTTTTCTGGACTGAGCTCCCTCATCTAGTCCTTTGCTGCAGCCACACACCAGGTTAGCGTCACCTGCTGAAGACAAAAGGTGAGACAGGGCTGCAGGTCATCAGCACACTGATGAGGGTCAAAGCTCTGGAGGACTCCACGCGGTGGTTCCATATAAAAGTGAAACAGCACGAGGGACAAGGGACCACCGTACTCGAGAGTCCAAGGGAAGAACAGTGTCCCCCAAGCACCTTCTGGGGCCAACCCAAGAACATAATACCCCAGTCCTCCATCAGCAGCATTGGCTCCCTGTTTATTGTTATTTATTTATTTATTTATTTATTTAAACATTTCTATGCCGCCCCATTCGCCGAAGCCTCGGGCGGCTCACAACATAAATTAAAATACAAAAGATAACAATATAAAATAAGTCACCCTGGCCAGATAAAATAAGGGAATAATATTAACAATTAAAATGACACTTAACTAAAAAGGACTTCGCCTGGCGCCGAAAAACAAATAACGACGGCGCCAGGCGGACCTCTCTGGGGAGCGCATTCCATAGATTGGGCGCCACCGCAGAGAAAGCCCTCCTCCGAGTACCTACCCTCCTGTTCCAGTCCTGGCCCAATTCAAAGTGTTGCCTTTGACATATAAAGCCCTGAATGGCTTGGGACCAGGGTACCTGAGGGAGCGCCTCTCTCCATATATCCCTACCTGTCCACTCAGATCCTCCTCAAAACTCCTCTTCCAAATACCCGTCCCCGTGAGATCAAAGTGAAATGGGCTAAGATAAATGCCCAATATGTGTATTTCACCCCTCCATAGACTAAAGTTTGAAAATGCACACGTGGCGAGCTACATATTTGGGAGGAGATGTGTGCAGAATTGGAAATGTGAGTCACAACTTTAGGAAGCCAAAAAATATCCAGCCTCAATATCCAATACCATCAATGAATGGATGACAAAATGAAAGGCAGCGGACGATCCACAAGATGCAGATAGAACGGATCTGACAAAATTTGTACATCCCTATTTGTTTCCCAGAAAAATATTGATTATGAGCAACATTTATCACATGGTGGGTGAGAAAAGTCACAGTTATTCCTGAATTTAGTGGCAATCAATTTTACTGGGTGATCCCGAGAGAGAGAGAGAAATGCCCTTTCTATCCATTGTCTCTCTGCATTATGCATAATTTTATACTCTTTTATATCACCCCTTAGTCGTATTTCTTTTGTCAGCAACAAGGCACTTCACGTCATCTTAGCTGTGTTAGTGCCGACACAGCAGACGAAACCAAGCAAAGATACTGTGTAGATGCAGAAACTCTGAAACGGTTCTTTCCCATGGCATTGCCCGAGCAAGCACATGAAGAATGTGGCCAGCACCCTTACCTTTGCGGTTTGATCTTTGGAATGCTGATCAGAAGCCTGGTTCCCCTTATCCTGCTTTTTGGAAGTTGCCCATCTGTCTGGCCCATTCGAAGCTGCAGCCTGGAGAGGAGAAGGAGAAGCATTTGGATAAAGCAAATGCTATTCACCAAACCTCTTTCAGCTCTAGCAGAAGTCTTTATTTACTTATGTATTCCTAACACTGATATCCCACCGTTCAATGGACAAGAGGCCTTTCCTGGGTGATAATTAATCGGGACTGCAACAGATGGGCAGAACAGTTTTCCATATGGACGACCGCCAGCATGCCAAGGGAGGAACAAGAAGTTAGGCGCCTGTCTCTCCCTGAAGCCCTGTCAAATTTCCTATTTTTGCATTTGGTCAATTAGTTTAAAACACGAATGCCAAAAAGGGTGCTTCGCACAAACCTTGTCTGGCAGCCCCAGCATCTGCCACGGCCAAGGGGACAAAGGCAAAACTACGCTAGGAAGCAGCTATGCAATTCTCCTCGCAGCAGCATCTTTCTTAGAGTGGTCTGGAGCACCTTGGGAAGGAGAGGACACTCCGGTGGATGCTCTAGGAACCAAGCGTTTGTGGTGGAAGCCACAGAGCCTATTTCTAGAGCATTCTTCCTCTGTGTTTGCAGAGATCCAGTTGAGGTGACAAGGGCTTCAGCCCCTGTGAACTGGACAAGAAGCTGTGTGTGAGTTGTGTTGCTGCATATGAAGGCCTCTGTGCATGAGTTGTGTGTGTACGCACCCTCTGCCGTTTCAGCAGATACCCAACAAATCCCTTGCGGCCAAAAGGGCCATGCACCAGGTTTAGAACATCTGTATTCCACCTTTGCCTCAATGTGGGTTCAGGATTTTTCATATGGTCAACTGCCAAGTGGCCAAAAAGTGCTTTTCAGCTGCCAAGTCTTTTATACTTTTCCCAAAACCTTTCTGTAAAACATTCAAACTGAAGGGTTTAAATGCGCTGAGTTTCCCAAGGGCATCTACTCAACCACTGTACAAACCAGAATGCTGCCAAGATAGGATTTTTCTCTGATAGACGCCCGTATGTTCTTAACAATGGCATCTGAGCATGCACAAGCCCACATACAGATACTGGTTGCTTTCCCACCTGCCTTGATGCCGCTGAGCAAAGCTGGAGTCAAAGACTGACAAAGAATTTGCAAGACCATATTATTTATTTATTTATTTATTTATTTATTTATTTATTTCAATTTATATCCTGCCTTTTTCCGACAAAGGGCTCAAGGCAGCTTACATCATTCTCCTCCTCCATCTTATCCCCACAACAACAATCCTGTGAGGTAGGTTGGGCTGAGAGTCTGTGACTGGCCCAAAGTCACCCAGTTGGCTCCATGGCTGAGTGGGGACTAGAACCCAGATCGCCTGAGTCCCAGTCCCATGCTCTTAACCACCACACCACACTGACTCTCCAGCATACAATAACAGCATGTTGTAAATACAGGGTTCGGAAGGGTTGCAGTTTAGTGGTATACCTTGGATTCTGCAAGCAAACAGACCCAGTAGGATTGGGAAGAAACCAAGCAAAACCCATCCCTCTGGCATTTGCAGACTTCTTCTCCTATGTGGCCCAGTTTTGGAAAGTGAGCCAAGCCAGGAGGAAATCTGTGAGCACTTGCAGAACACCAGTTGTGCAACCGGCACCTTTCTTCCACATCATGTGCATTTGCGCAAAGAAAAACTGCTGCAGTGATGTGCAAGAGGATGCTGCTTGCACAGAGCATGAGGCAAGGTCAGGCTGAAATGACTTCTCAGATCCTGGAGAGCGATGACCAGCTAGTGTAGACAATATGGACCTCAGCGCACCGAGGGCCAAGAGGCTTCTTCCTGTGTTCCTAAGGGCACCTTCCCAATTTGACGCCAGGAAATAATAATAAGAAATGTCTATCAAACAAATGTCAGTTGCAGCTCCAAACCTCAAAATGCAAGGAAGAACCAAGGGAAGCTACCCTCTGCACAGCTGGTATTTATACAATAAGTCTTCTTTTTAGTCCTTGTATTTGCTTATTAGATTCTAGTACATTTAAGACTGGTATTTTCAAAAAGCTGCAGCAATCTAAGAAGCTTATAAGGGCAAACATGCTAGGATTTACTTCAGTTCCACACATGTGAGCACTACTTCCAGTACAGAATTTATATAGTTTTCACAGGGCGGCTAAGCTCGAACATATTAATGCTATCTGTGCTTTCAGGGCTGCAGTCCAAAACATTACAATGTTGCCCCACTGAACACACTGGGACAAACTTCTGAGCAGATGTGCATATGATTCTACAGCAAAAATGCTAGGGAAGAAGAAGCCGTGAGACCAGACTCCCTCTGGGCCATTATCCACCCTAGGCTTAAGCTGTGGTTGCATTACCTCTAGCGGTGTACTGGCAATTTTTGAAGTTCAAGCCCTCACTATGACGGAGCACATCCCCAAAAGAATCCCCCAAAAAAGTGGCGGCTGGTGTATCAACAGAGCAGTTCTATTTGTTTTCTTCTCCAGTACAATCAGCTCTTTTATTATTATTTATTATTTATTTATTAAAACATTTTTATGCCGCCCCATTTGCCGAAGCCTCGGGGCGGCTTACATTTCAAGCATCAGTGTCACATCCAGCAATACTGCAATGAATAATTTCTCTACCAATTGTTGCACAAACTTCTCTAGGGTTATATACACCTCCTGAACAGCTAAGAGACCAATAGAAGCACAGCTTGAGTTCCTGTGTGTACCCAGCAGCCAAGATGCAGGCCAAGAGCAATGTTTTATGTGTAGGGGGCTGGGAAATACAGACAACCGAATTGTCAGTTGCATTGTGGCTTTGCTTTGAGTTTGCAAAAATCTAAGTAAGGCTTTCAAGGGCAGGACACCTTGGAGGGCACATTCAGTAGCAGGGCCTTCATAAGCCAGAGGTGGCTTCCCTGTACTTAGTAGTTTCATGGGTTAGTCTTGGGAAGCCTGCAAACAATTGAATCAAGGAAAATGACTGCATAAAAACTGATCAGGAACTTGTCTCTATTTGTGGAAGTGAGGCATAGAAGACCTAAGGTATGAGGGGGAATTTGTTAGCAACTATTAATCCCTAGTTATTGAATGCAACTTTGCAGTTGTGTTGCCCCCCCCCACCCCTCCAGCAAAAAAAGGACCCACACAAACAAGGTGTGGTACCAGGCACCAGGTAGTGTTCTGCTGAAAGGGACAGATATTAAACCCTTGAGCTACTTCGAAATGGCACTCAAGCTTCAAAGACCATTGTCTACAACTGCTTTTCATTGCCATATGAATTTTATTTGCGTACAAAAGCCCAGATACAGCTAGGTATTCCATCTTTACTTGCCTCCCATGTACTACACTCTTCCTTTTCTGTAGGCGACAACTTGAACGAGACAAAGTCAGCAGAGACATGGTTCTTCCTGCTCTACCAATAAAACACTCAGCCCAATACAGCTAAAGCGAATGGGTCTTACTTGCCTTTCAAACCAAGCCACCTGCAAATATTCTGCATTACAACAGGGAGCAATATTTTTACTGGGTTCATACAACAGGGTTCATACTCACCCTCAAAGGTTGGGCATGAGTTGCTGCTGAACCTTTCATTATTGCCAAAACATGGGTTATGGTGCTGTTTGAACCCAGTGGCACGAACAAACCATGCTTGTTAACCATGAACAACCCACAGTTCACTACCTAGTAACAAACCATGGATTGTTTTTCGATAGTAAACTAGGAGTTGTTAGTGTGGCTGAGCCTGGGCCACCCAATAGCCCATACTTCTACAACAGCCTGCAGTTCTGCAACAACCCATGCTGAGCTCCTGGGTGCTGGATAGCATGTTGCCTGCACTTAGTCGCCCTTGCTTTTTGCAGCAGCTGCTCTCTCTTAGCAGGGGTTCTCTGGCTTGATTTATTTTTTACTTATTCATTTATGTAAAGCATTTGGATACTTAAAAGCGGTTTAAAGCATTTTAACAAGGATGATTCTTGCTCACTTCAGGGGTGGGCAGGTGAGAAACAATGGGCAACAGGCAGTGGTGCTAAGAATTATTTTAGGGCTGAGTACCGCAGACTAGTCTTTCGGTGATGAAAGAAAGATCCTTCCTAACCTAAAGATGAAGTGAGCCTGCTGCAGTTGCCCTACCTGGAGCCTTGGGGATGACTCAGTGACTGAGGCCTTCCTTGGATGACTTCGAGGAGAAGCCAGAAAAAGCCATCAGCCAAGTCTGGTCCACAGGGAGGATCATGTTCAGGGAGAAAGACACCCAAGAGGTCTTAACATTGGTGGGCAAACTGGCTCCTGCTTGAAAAATAATGATCATTATGGTAAACTAGGGAGCTGTCCGGGCTGTACATTCCATGTGAACCTCTGAAGTCTTAAGGGAACCCACCCATGTATGGAAGACTGTGTGCAGAACTCCCTCAGTGGGAATGAGAAGGACTGGCACCAAGTGTCAGCACCTCAGAGCACTCACTAAGGCCCTCCAGCCAGAAAGGGGACTATCGTTACCAAAGCCCAGCTCCTCTGCCCAGCTTCTCTCTGCTGCCATTGCTTATTTGCTTGTCATCTCTAAGCTAGCAAACAGTGGAGGAGGAGGAAGGCACTTCCACTGTTCTCTCCTTCTAGACTTTGCTGCAGCTGGAGCCCCAAGTGAGAGGGAAAATTAATGGGCATCCATGAAGAAAACAGTGGGCCAGCTCCAACACAGGATCATCAGGCTTCCTGTGCATGGGCAGGCCCCAAACCTGGCTCCTCAACGTGGGATGACTCACAACCAGTAGTGTGTCAAGTAACAGCATGTTAGTGGCCTACTTATTAGTGGCGCCCTCCCACATGTACACTGGGAGGCAGAAACTGTGGCGCACCTTAGCTGCCTCTTGAAGGCGCATCTCTCCGCTCTTGGGCTTTCCCTGACGTGCAATTGCACTGCCCAGTTAGACTGTTCCCATAAAGGTTTTAATATGTTTGTCCTTGCATGTCACAGCGTGAGAAGGCAAGACTCCCCGGAGAAGAAAGTCATGCTAAGTGAAGTTGAAGGCAGAAGAAGAAGGGGAAGATCGAACATGAGATGGATGGACTCCTTCAA